TGTGATTTCTTTTTTTTAACACTAAGAAAAGAACTTTATTGTTTATTAATGTTTCTGTGTAAAACTTAAGCCTTTTTTTTTTAAAAAAAAGAAACCACCAAAAGGAGTTTAGCTCAGTCCATCCCTTCCTCTGTCGTCTGCTTCCCACCATCCTCCAAATACTATTCCAAAACATTTTGGAGGCAGGGAGGAGGGGGAGGCAGCTAATCAGAATCTGAGAGCACGATGATCTCCTCTGGATCGCACTGTGTGGCCACACTCATCTCATAAGTACCAGGCCTGGAGGGTTGTGATTGGGGGGTTTGGGACAGCGGGGTGGAAATGGACTGCAGAGGGAGCTGGTCACCAGGCCACGGCTAGGAGAGTCCACCCTCCCTGAGGAATCAGCAACGGGAGCCCTGGAAGCCAAGGGGGAAGGTGGGCTGGGCAGCATACATGTCTCCTTCCCATTCTTCCCACGCAATGCCCTTTGCCTTTCCACATGGCTATTTCTTAATGGCCCTGCTTCTGTTTGCTTCTCCATCCGAGATTTCTTGTGGGGAGGACCGGCATCTCGCCAGGTGTGAGGAGAGACACCTCCGTTGAAGGAAGTGGAGGTGACCATGGCTGCTCCATTCTCCAAAACAGTGGTGAGGGGTTCCTCTGATTGCTTCCTGGAAGAGGAAGCATCCCTCTTCTCAGGAGAAGGGGTAGTATCCAGGAGCAAGGCTTCAATCTGTAGCTCGAAGAGCTGAGACATAGGGCTCTCTTCCTCCAGGGGCAACTCCTCGAGGTGTTCTCCACTGCTTTCAGCATCTGTGCTGGAGAGGGCTGGGGGCTCTTCCGACAGTGAAGATGGTGACACTGCAAGTCTTTTGTTTTGCTGCTCCCCTGAAGACCTACTGATCCCTTTGCTAGGTTCCAGGTTCTTTTCAGTGGAGATCTGTAGCGGGGACATGGGGCTCTTATCTCCATCCTTACCTGCTTCCTCCTCCTCCTCACTTTCCTCATTTTCTTCATCATCTTTCTCAGCCTTGGAGGTGGTAGGGCATTCCTGGGATGCCATCCCACTAGGGCCCTCACCAGAATCCAAGGAGGCTTTGGGGGGATCTACAGAGCGGGAAGAGGTGGCTTGGGGGAGCTGGGCTCTTCTCTTCTGTCTCTCGCCCTCCTCACTCTGGTCTTGCTTCATTGCATATTTAGAGATGACCTCATCCAGACGGCTCATAGCCAAGCTCCGGTTCTCCCGCAGGTGCTGGGCGAGGACAGGATCTGACAGTGTGGGATCAATGTCTGGCCTGTAGTCATCTGTGAGGTGACAGCCAAAGTTGTAGATGAGATCAAGGTGGCAACGCTCCTGTAACCTGATGCCCACATCTCGGAAGGCATCCTGAGCCATCAGCTGAAGCTGCTGTCAGGGGAGGCCAGGACTGTGCCGAGCAGATGCCTTCTCTACGGCCCGCAGCACATCTCCATGGTCAGGGAAGGTGTCAAGCCCTGGTTTGTTGATGAGCTGCTCAGTGTGCCTGTTCACCTCTGGGTAGCAGGTACCACGGTAGGGGATGCGCTGCTCTACGACCCAACCTGGCAGTGAAGAGCAGTCTTTCAGCTCACACAGCCGCCCAAAGAGGCGGATCAGCTTACGCTTCAACCTTGCCTCCTGCAGGTAAGTGGAGTCTGGGTCGTCCAGTTCTGAGAGATCCAGCTCCTTTTCCTGCATCCGCCGGATCTCCGCTACATAGAGTGCTAGCAGCTGCTCCAAGCGCTGGATCTGCCGCCGGGAAGCACGGGTCCTTGGGGCCTCAGAGGCAGTGGTCTCAGCATTTGTGGGGTCCGAGGAGTCTGTGGGAGGGTTATTCCCAGAGGGCCCACTAGAGGTGGCGGCAGCAGGGGCCAGATTCAGCTGCTTCTTGGCTGAGTGGGCCTTGAGGACAGTGCAGAGCTCATTAATGTAGACATAAAGCTTAGCTGGTCGGCTCTGAGCCCGAGAGAGGACCTGAGAGAGGATGTTGCAGAACTCCGCTGAGGCCAGAAGCAGAGAGTGGGCACGCTGCTGCTGGTTATAGAGGAAAGGGATCACCTCCAGGTGGTCCACTGTCTGCGTCTTACACAGTTCAAGGAACTCTTTAAACAGCTTCTCATTCTCCAACCTGTAGCATTTCTTGCCACCCGAACTACTGCTTCTTCTGGCCACATGGGGCTGGGAGGAGCCAGGGGCTTCTGCCTCGGGTGAGGCCAGATTCGGGGGTGGGTGGGAGGGCCCTGGCTGAGCAGCTGCTTCGTCTTCATCATCATCATCCAGCACGATGATGCTGTTAGTGGTGGCCATGGGGGATCAAATCCCCTGGAGGGAGAAAGTGTTGGGGATTTCGTAATTCCTGCTGGAAGGGGATGGGGCCTCAGAAAGAGCCCCTCCAGCACAGCCCCATCCCATCATCTCACACATTTTCCAGTCTTCCTGGGTTTCAAAAACACCCAGCCATGCTCAACAGTGTCCTCACTGCCTGTCTTCAGCAACCATTAGTACCATATGTTTTTCTGGACCTTTACTGTGGGAGCCCCAAACTGTCTGAAAACCTTAAGTCCCACTCCCAGCTCTACCCCTCATGTCGCTGTCCGGTCTTTCGGTTGCGTTTCCGTACTATTTCTCATAGTTGGCAAGTTGATTCTTCCTCCCTGAGCTGATCACACCCTGCAAACCTCTTCCTCATCCTGGCTTTAAAACACCTTCCCTGAAACAAACTGGGGACTTGTCAGTTCCTGCAATAAACATTGCGCTTTCTTCATCACAACCCGGTGTCACTAGATTGGCTCTACCGCGCTTGGACGAGGGATCCAAGTTTGGTTTGGTAACAAATGGAAGGAGACTGGGGTGAAAGAGCAGACAAATGTGAGATCACAAAAGCTTTATATGCTCAGTAGTCTATATAATGACTTTTTAAAAACTTCATCCCATACAGTTTGGGGGAATCAAAGAGAATCTAAAGAAGTGAAGATTAAAAAAAAGATGAAAAACATGTAAGAGGTATTTACATATCTGACTATAATATATGATGAATTGTTTAGTTTCACAACAAATATGACAACATTTATAAAATTAACACATCTTTGAACATAGGTACATTTGAGGCTTTTTTCACTCTTGATGGTGAATTTCATTTAAAACTATAAATATGGGGATGTTTTGGAACAACAAATGACAGCTTCCATGTCTTAAAGCTAACATTTATGCATTCAGTAAACTCTAAGTGCTTCTGTCCTTTCATGCCTATAGTCTATCTCGGTTCCACATTTTTATGATTTTAGATTCTGACTTCTACCAGCACCCTACTGCAGTCTGGCTTGAGTGGGTCGTGAATCATCAATCTTTCTCAGCATCACCTTGAGACTTCCTCTGTGAGGCAGTTCAGGTGAATGTCAACTGAACACTCTCCTAAAAATAAAATAAAAGTACATAAATATGCATTGAGTGCTTTAAAAATTGAACTGTAAACACCCAATGCAAAAACAGAAGAGAACTATAAAAATGTGATTTTGTAAGGGCCTTTCAAGTTCTTAGAGAAATAATTCTCATAGTATACAGAGTGATAAAATACATATATATTTTTTTTAACTGTACTTTTTCTTTAATCGAAGTATAGTTGATTTACAATATTGTTTCTGGTGTACAGCATAGTGATGCAGTTATATATTTATATATATTCTTTTTCATTATAGGTTATTACAAGGTATTGAATATAGTTCCCTGTGCTATACAGTAAGACCCTGATGTTTATCTATTTTTTAAAACATTTTTATTGAGTTATAGTCATTTTACAATGTGTCAAATTCCAGTGTAGAGCACAGTTTTTCAGTTATATATGAACATACATACATTCATTGTCATGTTCTCTTTTGCTGTGAGCCACCACAAGATCCTGTATATACTTCCCTGTGCTACACAGTACAATCTTTCATCTATTCTACATTTTGAAATCCCAGTTTCTTCCCACCCCCTGCCCCCCTGTCAACCACAAGTTTGTATTCTATGTCTATGAGTCTGTTTCTGTTTTGTATTTATGTTTTGTTATGTTTTTAGATTCCGCATATGAGTGATCTCATATGGTATTTTTCTTTCTCTTACTGGCTTACTTCACTTAGAATGACATTCTTCAGGAATATCCATGTTGCTGCAAATGGCATTATGTTGTCAGTTTTTATGGCTGAATAGTATTCCATTTTATAAATATACCACATCTTCATTATCCAGTCGTCTGTTGATGGATATTTAGGCTGTTTCCATGTCTTGGCTATTGTAAATAGTGCTGCTAGGAACGTTGGGGTGCATGTGTCATTTTGAAGTAGGGTTCCTTCTGGATATATGCCCCAGAAATTATTATTTATAATTATATCTAGACATAGAAATGTGCAATGAATACCATCTGGAGAAAATCAGACTTTTTTGGGTTTTGGGGCTTTTTTCTTTTCTTGCCTCCAGATAATTCTAGTGGCTTTAGACCCTGCAAATAATTAGTCCAGAGTTTCATCTCCCAGCAAAATACAAAATTGATATCTGGAGAACATAAATGCCTATCACTTGAGAGGCATTTGAATAAATAGATTGACGTTATCTCTGGTCTTTTAAAAGCAAATCGAAGAAGGAAATTTCAAATTTTATCTGCCATCATTCTATTTTGAAAGCATATTGTCTATCCTTAACTCAAACAATATGCTATGTTGAAGAAACAAATAAACATGGTCCAAGGGATAGAGATAGCACTGCTTTCTTCATATATGGTACATAATTCCAAATACTATCTAAATTTCTTCATAAACACACCTTGTACCCACCCAAGAGGCAACAGGATTTAGCAGTTAAAAGCACAGACTGTGTAGTCATGCTGGCTGGTTGGATCCAGTGTCTACCACTTAATTGCTGTGGGCCATAGAGAAGTCATACAACTGTTCATTGCCTCAGTTTTCTCATCTGTAAAATGGGGATGATTATAACATATACCCCATAGGGAGTTTTTGCAAGGAGTAAGTGAGTAATATAGTAAAGGACTTAGAGAAGTGTCTACCATGTCACAAGTGCTATGTGTAAATTTTTTTCTGATAATTTCTGTTCTTGTTGCCACAACTTTAATTCTAGAATACTTACATTCCCCCAAAATTTCTGGGAAGCCTCCCAGATGACCTCCCTGCCTCCTTTCCTCTCTACATCTAATATACTTCTTATACTTGAGAAATTAACAAAGAAATTTATCTATTCACAAGTCCCCTTCTCAAATAACTTCCCTAGTTCCCAATTTTCTCCAGAATAGAGAAAAATCTCATCTTCGTGGTCTCCCACAATTTACCTCTAACACGATGTTCTGACATTATCTGTCCCCATCTGCCATACAAGTTGGTTCAACCAGTCCCCTCCTATCTTCATTCAGCCTCCCAAGACTCTACTATACTGTTTCTCCTTTTGGAATGTCCTCCAGTGACACCTCTCATCCCTATCACTGCAGAAACTGCTTCCTCTCCTGCCTCTAGACAGCCCATTCTCCTCAAGGCAGCAGGAAGCATCTTCTAAAGTGTCCACGGGATTATACCGCTCACCCCCTCCCACCCCCTTAGGGATTCTGTTCTATTAGGTTTCAACTCTGGCTCCTCACCATGGAGGCCTCCAGCGTGTGGTCTCAGCTCCAGCCTCACTGGCCTTCTCTACCCATTGGTGTGAACACACCAAGCTCCAGTTTGCCTGAGGCTACCACACCTGCTTAAATGCTGCCATCCCAGAGCAGGGTCCCTGACGGCTGCATCTAAAGTCGATGCACCGTCCCTCTCACAACCGTCATTTACCCTCAGAGCACTTAACACAAGATAACCATGTGCCAGGTCATAAGTGCCACGGGGTCTCTGTTTTTCTTTGTCCACCTTTCAGTCTAGAACAATGCCAGGCACATAGCGCCAAATATGTGGAGAAGCAAATCCAAAGTGCTTTATTGCAAGCACACAGTTTATGATAAAGCTCTTCAAATTGATTATGAAATGGGAGGGGAATAGTAAACATAATTAGAAAAGACATGAATATCCAGATGACTTGGGGCAAGCCATCTAACCAGCTTGGACTTCGGTCTCCTTGTTTGCAAAATAGGGCATGTATTGTTCTGCACATCCCACAGGGCCAAGCAGGTTGGTGACAGGGCATGGGAGGCACTGTCCCCAGGGGCTGGGCCACCATTAGGCTTCCTGGACTTTGCCTGGGGGTGAGGGGCAGTGGATCACAGTTTGTGCTTACTTCCAAGTGCTGCAGATTTGGGCCTTTGAGCTGTCTGTCCTTCCTGCCCCAGGCCAGAACCAGAGACCAGCTTGGCCTCTCCCCAGCCCCAACTTCTCCCCTCCCTCCCTCTCTGCCTTCGTCTCTCTCCATCTCTCCCCTCGCCTCTCCTCTCCTCCTGTCCAGTTCCCAGATCCAGCTGGGAGTTTCTTCCCACCTCCTTCCTGGGAGACTCAGAGCCTTTGAAACAAAGGTGCTGGGTGCTGGCCCATCAAACACAGCTGGAGGAAGAGCAGGAGGTGGTTTAGGGGAAGGGCCGCCCTCTCCCGGGGCCTGAGGGATGGCATTTCAGACCCTCTGGGTCCTGCCCCTCCCCTGGCAGCTCGGTGGAAGCACATCCCTTCTCCTCCCGGATCATCTCTCTGACTCCTTGTCCACTGGCCTACACCCCTGCCACGCCCATCACCTCCCCTCCCCTCCCTTTACTGGCAGATAGGGACTTCCCATCACAGGGTTAGGCTCCTGGGGAAACAGCAGACAGCACTGCCTTGGGTAGGAGGGAGGCACAAGGGCTGGGAATGAGTTTCCTCTGGAAAACATTCCCAGATGCTAATGGTTTCTTCTTACATGACCCCCACCTCTGAGCAATGGCCTCTGAGTCTGGGAGGGGCCCCCAGAATGTGGCCTGGGGGACAGCCCGGCTCAGGTAGCATCCCTCATCCCACTGCCGCTGACCAGTTCCTGAGGAGTGGTTCTTGGTTTGTCTGCCTGGGAGTCAGCCGATGCAGCCTGAGGGTGAGAGGTAATTGTGGGTCAGGACATGGGATCCACTGGTGACTGGATAACCTCAGGCAGGTCACTGTCATTCTTGGGTCTCAATTCTGTCTCCTGGTAAATGAGGGGTTGGAACTAGAGGCCTTGGGATAACGTTTGCTCCAAGAGACAAAAATCCGATGCAGAGTTAAGGTGCTATCGATTGTTCCTTGTCGGACTCAAGTGAGCTGTTTCCTGGATCCCTGCGCCTCAGTCAGTGCAGGCGGGACCTGCTCCAGCTCAGCAGAAACCTCGTCATCACTGTCAGCATTGCTACCATTTGTCACAAAAAACACTGCTTGCTGGCTGTTCCATGCCTTGCCTCACTCCAGTGTGCAGCAGATAAAACTTGCTTTCCAGAGTATGAAATAGAGCTGCCCTTAGACAAGGTTGGAAATGACCAAGCCAGGATTTGTCCCGCCGCCAAGGCCCTGCTCAGCCCACAAGGCCGGACCACACCCTCGTCCCCTCCGGCCTCTAGCCAGTGGGCCAGTGGGCAGAACTTTACATAAATGACCTCCAGCAGTGGCAGAAGATGAGGGCCCTTCCCTAGACACCTAAGGAAACAGGGTGGGCAGCTCCCTTTGCCTCTC